TAACTGCATGCGTGTACACACACGTGTAGATACACACGTTCACCATGCGTGTACACACACGTGTACACACACGTTCACCATGCGTGTACACACACGTGTAGATACACACGTTCACCATGCGTGTACACACACGTGTAGACACACACGTTCACCATGCGTGTACACACACGTGTAGACACACGTTCACCATGCGTGTACACACACGTGTAGACACACGTTCACCATGCGTGTACACACACGTGTAGACACACGTTCACCATGCGTGTACACACACGTGTAGACACACGTTCACCATGCGTGTACACACACGTGTAGACACACGTTCACCATGCGTGTACACACACGTGTAGACACACGTTCACCATGCGTGTGCACACACGTGTAGACACACGTTCACCATGCGTGTACACACACGTGTAGATACACGTTCACCATGCGTGTACACACACGTGTAGACACACGTTCACCATGCGTGTACACACACGTGTAGACACACGTTCACCATGCGTGTACACACACGTGTAGACACACGTTCACCATGCGTGTACACACACATGTAGATACACGTTCACCATGCGTGTACACACACGTGTAGACACACGTTCACCATGCGTGTACACACACGTGTACACACACGTTCACCATGCGTGTACACACACGTGTAGACACACGTTCACCATGCGTGTACACACACGTGCAGACACACGTTCACCATGCGTGTACACACACGTGCAGACACACGTTCACCATGCGTGTACACACACGTGTAGATACACACGTTCACCATGCGTGTACACACACGTGTACACACACGTTCACCATGCGTGTACACACACGTGTACACACACGTTCACCATACGTGTACACACACGTGTAGACACACGTTCACCATGCGTGTACACACACGTGTAGACACACACGTGTACACGCATGCTGAATTTCCTTCGCACCGTACAAGGACAACAAAAAATACAACCATGCATCACAACAATTTCCCGTGAAGCCTTTAACAGACTGCCGGAGGCAAGTGCTGTTAGCGAGCACCTATTAAGGCCGGGCACGGCACACGAGGGGGTGTGTGGTGGCCAGCACCACGCCCGACCGCCTTTGTCTCCCCAATGCCAATGTTTACACACCGTATCAGGTGACACATTTATGGTCGAGTCGAGCTCGGGGAAACCCAAACATTCACATACAAGGGCCGACACAACACTGCCAGCTTACACACATACACAACATCACACACACACACGTGTACGCACACACACGTGTGACGAATTTCTTTCGCACAGTACATAGAACAACAAACAAAACACAACAACAACAACAAGAAGCAGCAGCTCTAAATAAATCAGCTTTGTCAATGGAGATGATGATGATGATGATTTAAAAGTGCACAGCTCCCCAGGGGCTTCCTCATATCGGGAGGGAAGAGCGTTCCAGACGGACCGTGGAAGCAGCGCGTCTGACAACTCGCGATGCAGGACCACCAGGAACACACAAACACACACGGCAAGGCACACATACACAGACACACATACACACTGACAACAACAACCGCCATTCGCCACTAAGTGGCGGTGACGTCACCACGATGCTTGTGCCAGGCCAAGTGCACCTTGAGGCCACGTGAAGTGTCGAACGCCCGCTGGCAGGAGGTCACGGGGCAGACCCAGGTGCCACGGGTCGACTGACCGAGATGACCGAGATGACTGGCTGATGCACTACCTGTGCCCCCTACTGTGCCAACTTGCTGTGCTTTAGCCACCCGGCGCTCCGCTCGTTGTTGTGAGCGTCGCTCCTCCGCCCTCCGTTGTTGTTGGAGGGCGACTGCCTCCAATTGCCCAGTAGCGACCTTCACGAGCCTCCTCCACTGAGGCCGATCTTGACACCGCTGGTACCAGTCATCGGCAAGTCCACTCAGCTCCACGTCCTCCTGTACCACATCACTCCATCTCTTCTCCAGCCCGTGCCGCGCCCGTCTAGCCCCCTCGATCCGGCCGAACAAAAGCTGTTTAGGCATGCGGTGGCTGGGCATGCGGGCTACATGACCCAGCCAACGCAGCCTTGCCTGCCGGAGGAGCTCACTGATGGGACTTTGCCCAGATCTTTCAAGGATTTGTGAGCTCCTCACACAATCCAGCCTGGTTAAACCCAGGATGGATCGTAGGCAGGCCAGCCTAAATGTTTCCAACCGGCGAAGATGCTCCACCAGGGGGGTCCACGTCTCGCAAGCGTAGAGAAGGGAGGGAATGACCGTGGCCGAGAAGACCTGAAGCTTCGTGCGGAGCGACAGACCAGGTAGCTTCCACACAGCGTTACGCAACCGATGAAAAGATATTGCCGCTAGACTGATTCGGAGTGAGACCTCTGCTGATAAACTGGAGCCGGTCATAAGCACACTGCCCAGGTATGGGAAACTCTCCACTCTCTCCACAACTGCCCCTTCACCAATTGGGAGTTGTGGGGGTGGAGTGTCCGATGGTACAAAATACCCAGGCAGGTGCTTAGTTTTGGTGGGGCTGATGGTAAGGCCCCACCTCTTAGTGGCACGCTCCAGTCTCAGCAGCAGCGTCTCCAACTCCTCTTCTGAATGAGCAGCTATTACCAAATCATCGGCATACATAACGTGGTTGACCAATAGGGAGCCATCCCTTGATCGCACCCGGGCATCGATCAGCCTCCCATTATATCTGTACCAAATGGAAATTCCCCCGGTACAGCTATTGAAGGCTTCACGAACTACGCGGTCAAAATAGATGTTAAATAATGTGGGAGCCAGAGGACATCCCTGTCGCACCCCAAGGTGTACAGGGAAAGGCTCCGACTCCCGGCCACGTAGTTTTACCCGGGCCCGCTCACCATCATGAAGGTCCTTAATGATCGTGAGCAGAGGGTCAGGGACTCCGAAAGCACGAAGAACAACCCAGAGCCCAGTCCTACTGATGGTATCATAGGCCTTGACCAGGTCAATAAAGCAGAGATGTAGGTCTTTTTGGAATTCCCTACACCTCTGCTGTAGCAGACGCACTGACACACACACACACACAGACATACACACTGACACACACACACACACAGACATACACACTGACACACACACACAGACACACACACACACAGACACACATACGGCAAGGCACACACACATACAGACACACACAGACACACACAAACAAACACACAGACACACACACACAGACACACACACAGACACACACACAGACACACACAGACACACACACACACACACACACACACACACACACACAGACACACACACACACAGACAGACACACACAGACACACACCCACACAGACACACACATACACAGACACACACACAGACACACACACAGACACACATTCACACAGACACACACACATACGGCAAGGCACACACACAGACACACACACAGACACACACCCACACAGACACACCCACACAGACACACAGACACACACACACAGACACACACCCACACAGACACACACCCACACAGACACACAGACACACACAGACACACACACCCACACAGACACACCCACACAGACACATACGGCAAGGCACACACACACAGACACACACCCACACAGACACACACACATATGGCAAGGCACACACCCACAAAGACACACACACCCACACACACAGACACACACACCCACACAGACACACACACAGACACACACAGACACACACACCCACACAGACACACAGACACACACACCCACACAGACACACGCACACACACAGACACACACACACAGACACCCACACAGACACACACATACGGCAAGGCACACACCCACACACACTCACATTCCGCAGGCAAAGACAAACATAACCCGTATATCCTCAACAGGCCGTGGGGGCAAGTGCTGTTAGCGTGTGGCACCTATCCAGGCCGGAACGGCACACGAGGGGTGGGTGGGTGGATCAGCAACCACGCCCGGCCGCCTTTGTCTCCCCAGTGGTCGATGTTTACACACGTTCACCATGCGTGTACGCACACGGGCACACACACAGACACACTCGCACACAGACACGCACACAGACACACACACAGACACACACAGTCACACACAGGCACACAGACACACACACCCACACACACACACAGGCACGCACCCACACAGGCAGACACACACAGGAACACACACAGGCACTAACCCACACACCCACACAGGCACACACATACAGGAACACACACACAGGCACTAACCCACACAGGCACTAACCCACACAGGCACACACACAGGCACACACACAGGCACTAACCCACACAGGCACACACACACAGGCACACATACACAAGAACACACACACACACAGGAACACACACACAGGCACACACACACACCCACACAGACACACACACATAGGAACACATACACAGGAACACATACACAGGCACTAGCCCACACAGACACACACCCACACAGGAACACACACACAGGCACTAACCCACACACACCCACACAGGCACGCACACACAGGCACGCACACACACACAGGAACACACACACACAGACACACACACACAGGAACACACACACCCACACACACACAGGCACACATACACAAGAACACCCACACAGGCACTAACACACACAGGCACACTCCTACACAGGAACACACACACAGGCACACTCCCACACAGGCACACACACACAGGCACTAACCCACACAGACATACCCACCCTCACACAGGCACACACACACAGGAACACATACACAGGAACACATACACAGGAACACATACACAGAAACTAAACCACACAGACACACACACCCACACAGGCACACACACAGGAACACATACACAGGAACACATACACAGGAACACACACACAGGCACTAACCCACACACAGGCACACACACAGGCACACACACACAGGAACACATACACAGGAACACACACACACAGGCACGCACACCCACACAGGCACACACACCCCCATACAGGCACACACATACAGGAACACATACACAGGAACACACACACACAGGCACACACACAGGAACACACACACAGGCACCCACACACCCACACAGACACACACAGGAACACACACACACACAGACACACACACACAGGAACACACCCACACAGGCACACCCCCCACACGCAGCGTTGACGTCAGTAGGTGGGTCCCAACCCATCAGGAGTCAGCGTTGAAGGTGTCGCCCCGAAGTTTCTCACTCGGCCACGACCCACCACGGACCACCACATCCACCACGACCCACCACCACCCCTCGCACTGGCAGTGGGAGGCAGCACGCCGAGCACAGGTGAACGTCTAATACCCTGAACAGCCTGAACACCACACACACAGCCTGAACACCACACACACAGCCTGAACACCACACACACAGCCTGAACACCACACACACAGCCTGAACACCACACACACAGCCTGAACACCACACACACAGCCTGAACACCACACACAAAGCCTGAACACCACACACACAGCCTGAACACCACACACACCTTGTACACACACACAGACACCCTGAACACCACACACACACCTTGTACACACTCACAGCCTGAACACCACACACAGCCTGCACACCACACACTGAACACCACACAGAGCCTGAACACCACACACACACACACCTTGTACACACACAGAGCCTGAACACCACACACACACACACCCTGTACACCACACACTGAACACCACGCACACATAGCCTGAAGACCACACACACACAGACCCTGAACACCACACACACACACACCCTGTAACCACACACACACCCTGTACACCACACACACACCCTGCACACCCTGAACACCACACACACCCTGAACACACACACACCCTGAATACCACACACACAAACACCCTGAACACCACACACACACACACCCTGAACATCACACACACACACACCCTGAACACCACATACACAGACACCCTGAACACCACACACACACACCCTGAATACCACACACACAAACACCCTGAACACCACACACACACACACCCTGAACATCACACACACACACACCCTGAACACCACATACACAGACACCCTGAACACCACACACACACACCCTGTACACCACACACACACACACCCTGAACACCACACACACCATGAACACCACACACAGGCATGCCCTGAACACCACGCACACACACATACCCTGAACGCCACACACATACACCCTGAACACCACACTGACACCCTGAACACCACACACACACACTGAACACCACACACACACACACCCTGAACACCACACACACACACACAGACCCTGAACACCACACAGACACCCTGAACACCCCACTGACACCCTGAACACCCCACTGACACCCTGAACACCCCACTGACACCCTGAACACCCCACTGACACCCTGAACACCACACACACACACCCTGAACACCACACACACACACCATGAACACCACACACACACCCTGAACACCACACACACACACCCTGACCACACACACTTCACCACACACACCCTGAACACCACACACACACACACCCTGACCACACACTTAACCACACACGCACACACACCCTGAACACCACACACACACACCCTGAACACCACACACACACACACCCTGACCACCACACACTTCACCACACACACACACACACCCTGAACACCACACACACACACACACACCCTGACCACCACACACTTCACCACACACACACACACTGAACACCACACACACACACCCTGAACACCAAACACACCCTGAACACCACACACACTTCACCACACACACACACCCTGAACACCACACACACACCCTGACCACCACAAACTTCACCACACACACACACACTGAACACCACACACACACACCCTGACCACCACACACTTCACCACACACACACACTGAACACCACACACACACACTGAACACCACACACTTCACCACACACACACCCTGAACACACACACACCCTGCACACCACACACTTCACCACACACACCCTGTACCACACACACACACACCCTGTACCACACACACACACACACCCTGTACTACACACACACCCTGACCACCACACACACTTGACCACACACACACACACCCTGACCACCACCACACACACACACCTTGACCACACACACACACTCTGAACACCACACACACACACCACCACACACACACACTCGAGTCGCGGTGTAACACGTTAGCTGCTGACTGTCTCCAACACAACACGAGACGGCTGCCACCCGACACTCGCTTAGTTAGCTCTGTACAGTGTGTGTGTAATCTGTACAGTGTGTGTGTAATCTGTACAGTGCGTGTGTAATCTGTACAGTGCGTGTGTAATCTGTACAGTGTGTGCTCTGCACAGTGTGTATTATGCACAGTGTGTATTATGCTTAATGTGCATTATGTACAGTGTTTCTGTCCAATGTGTATTATGTACAGTGTACATTGTGTACATTGTGTATTGTGTACAGTGTGTTATGTACAGTGTACGTTTTGTACTGTGTGTAGTGTGCACGTTGTGTAGTGTACAGTGTGTGTGGTGTACAGTGTGTGTAGTGTTCAGTGTGTGTGGTTGGTGTAGTGTGTGTAGTGTACAGTGTGTGTTTGGTGTACAGTGCTTGTAGTGTACAGTGTGTGTAGTGCACAGTGTGTGTAGTGTACAGTGTGTGTAGTGTACAGTGTGTGTGGTGTACAGTGTGTGTAGTGTACAGTATGTGTGTAGTGTACAGTGTGTGTGTAGTGAGTTGGAAGGTGTTCCTCAAGGCGGATTGTTGTTGTTGTTGTTGTGATCATCACCCAGCGAGTAGCCTGTGCGTGACCAGCCTGCTGCAATAACATGCCCATCATCATCACGAAGATGATGTTGAGGATGTTGTTGATGTTGTTGTTGATGTTGTTGTTGTGATCATCACCCAGCGAGTAGCCTGTGCGTGACCAGCCTGCTGCAATAACATGCCCATCATCATCATGAAGATGATGTTGAGGATGTTGTTGTTGATGTTGAGGATGTTGATGTTGTTGATGTTGAGGATGTTGTTGTTGATGTGGTTGTTGTTGATGTTGTTGGTGTTGTTGTTGATGTTGTTGTTGATGATGTTGATGATATTGTTGTTGTAGTTGTCGATGTTGTTGATGTTGTTGTTGATGTTGTTGATGTTGATGATGATGATGTTGTTGATGTTGTTGATGATGATGATGTTGTTGATGTTGTTGTTGATGTTGTTGATGTTGTTGTTTGTGTGCCTGCGGATTTGGGGGGGGGAGAGACAAAGACGGCCGGGCGTGGTGCTGCCGTGCCGGCCTTCATAGGTGCTGCTCGCTAACAGCACTTGCCCCTACAGCCTGTTGAGGCTACACGGGTGGTCTTTGTCTTTGTGGTGTTCTCGCAGGCTTGTTCACCACAGTTCGATCGGCAACTCTATTATTGTTATTAATAAGTTATTAATAAGTTATCGATTAGCGTGTGCGGTGACCAGACGGCGACAATAGCGGGGGCCTCCGATTGTCACGGGTGGGGGGCTACGTACGGTGCGAAAGAAGTCCAACACCCGCCTACGTCTAGCCCAGGGGTCGGCAACCTACGGCTCCGGAGCCGCATGCGGCTCTTCACGGGCTGCTTCTTGACGATATGTACGTGAGTACAGTATGTACTCAGATGCATTGCGGCTCTTGAAATACTGAATTTTGTACCGAATTGGAAAGAAATGGCTCTTCTTGTTATTTTGGTTGCCGACCCCTGGGGTAGAGGTTCTCGCACACCACGGGGGGTGGGGGGGGGCGCGTGGGGGGGGGCACGGGGAGGGACGTGGGGGGGGGCACGGGGGGGGCACGGGGAGGGACGTGGGGGGGGCACGTGGGGGGGGGCACGGGGGGGGACGTGGGGGGGGCACGTGGGGGGGGGCACGTGGGGGGGGGCACGGGGGGGGACGTGGGGGGGGCACGTGGGGGGGGGCACGGGGGGGGGCACGGGGAGGGACGTGGGGGGGGGCGCGTGGGGGGGGGCACGGGGGGGGGCACGGGGGGGACGTGGGGGGGGCACGTGGGGGGGGGGCACGGGGGGGGACGTGGGGGGGGCACGTGGGGGGGGGCACGTGGGGGGGGGGCACGGGGGGGGGGACGTGGGGGGGGGGGAGGGGGGGCACGTGGGGGAGGGGCGTGGGGGGGGCACGGGGGGGGGCGTGGGGGGGGCGCGTGGGAGGGGGCGTGGGGGGGGGACGTGGGGGGGGGCACGTTGGGGGGGGGCACGTGGGGGGGGACGTGGGGGGGGGCACGTGGGGGGGGGCACGTGGGGGGCACGTGGGGGGGGACGTGGGGGGGGGGCACGTGGGGGGGGACGTGGGGGGGGGGGCACGTGGGGGGGGACGTGGGGGGGGGCACGTGGGGGGGCACGTGGGGGGGGACGTGGGGGGGGGCACGTGGGGGGGGGGCACGTGGGGGGGGGGGGGGGCGTTGGGACAACGTTGGGACGTTAGCTCACAGATGGCCCAGCAACGTTTCCGCACCACTTGCCAACGTCGTCTCAACGTCGGCTGAACGTTGCCTCAACGTCGGTTGAACGTGCCTCAACGTCTGCCAAACGTCGGCTGAACGTTGGCGTGTGGTAAATAACTGTGTTAACGTTGACACGCGTGTGTGTGTGTGGTGTAAGTTTGGGTGCTCGGCTGACATCAGGTGTGTTTGTTGTTGTGGTTGCTTGGTACTGTACGTGTTGTGGTTGCTTTGTACTGTACGTGTTGTGGTTGCTTGGTACTGTACGTGTTGTGGTTGCTTTGTACTGTACGTGTTGTTTTTTGTACTGTACGTGTTGTGGTTGTTTTGTACTGTATGTGGGACTTCTTTCACACCGTACGTAGCCAACCGTGCACATCTGGAGGCGCGAACTTTGTCTACAAAGTTTTGTAAACAATATGAATAAATTTCGATTTAAAGCTTTCGTGACTGCAGGGATTCATATTCTTGGTTCTTTCGGTAAAGTCACGTAGAAGGGAAATAATAAAATAATAAAAATAAAACATAATACAATCATTCTCACGACGTTTATTTTAAAACAATATTTATATTATTTTAAAATAATATAAATATTGTTTTAAAATAATAAAATATAAAACAATAAAAATTATCATTTATTGTTTTATATTTATATTATTTTATTATTTCCCTTCTACGTGACTTTACAATAAAATTATCATTTATATTATATTATTTTATTATTTCCCTTCTACGTGACTTTACAATAAAAATTATCATTTATTTTATATTTATATTATTTTATTATTTCCCTTCTACGTGACTTTACCGAAGGA